GGAGGGATTTTGATTTTTCTACAGTAAATCAATTCTCATTTTCAACCACACATTCTTCAATAAAATAATATTTTCCATCACATCAATAATTTTTTCTTCTTTTTCAACCACACATTTCCCATCATATCACCATTCAAAAATAAATTTTTTCCCCAAAAATCCCTACCAAACAAGCTCTAAAAGATAATTTTAATAAATACACCACAATAAATTTGCAATTATATACCTAATTTAATAAAAATAATAAAAAAGAAGAGTTCCGGGTTTTAATAAATACACCACAACTAAACTCCATGATTTTCTTTTCTTCCAAACATTTCTTTCCATTGTGTACTTTTTATGTTGCATGCATCCATAGCTATATGGACTGGACAAAAAAAGAAGTAGAAAACCTTGTCCATTTCTTCTCATCCTCATTATTATCAAGAGAAATGGGTAAGGTCTATATCTCTTTGTCAGTGAACTTAATTTCTAATTTCGGAGAGGTCAATAAAATGTTTCGAAACTTATTAAAAGAAGATGGGCTAAATTACAACGCACACATGGACACATGGATAGATGCATATTTGTAATTTAATAAAATATATTACTATATTTAATAACTCGTGAATTTTATTCTACCATTAAATTCGGTCCATGCAGATTTTTTTTTCTTTTTACAAATGCATTTTTGGAAGATTTTTATACTAATAAATTTTTGGTAATTAGTTTTTCTATATAAATTCATATCATGTCTATATAGTAATTAAATATTTTTAGATATTCTTCTATAAACTTTGAATTAATAATTTATCATATTATTGTTCCTGAAGTAGCACAACATTATAATTAATATTTTCGAAAAATATTACTTCCTTCTGAAGCGTATAAATTATACTTTTCAATATTCCAAAAGAATATTGACATATTGCTCTTGAAGAAGTAATGGTAAATACAACGTTCTCTCGAAATAGCACATGTTTCGAAAAATATATTATTTTAAATTAATGCTTATCACTGAAGGAAAACACGTAACTTATGTAATGTTGATATTGACTACTGAATACTTAATCATATTTTTCGAAACTAATTGTATTTCCTTTTACTTTATTGTATAGTTAATCAAATGGCAAATATTACAAAACTTAAGTTTGCTGTACTTTACATATTTGGCAAAAACTATTTGCCATGAATACTTGATGCTGATATCAATTTTGTCTTAAAAGGTTTGAGAGAGATAATAAAAGAAGGAAACAAAGAATCTCCGTAGGATCATACAAAAGCACTCATATTCTTTCGTCATCATCTTCACGATAGATTGAATATTGAATATGTCACTGAGAAAGGTTTACATGTTCTTAGGAAAAAATTAGCCAAAGATTTGATCATCAGCTGATCATAGTCATTTCCAAAGCCTGCTATGAGTGGATGCACCTTCATTTGCAAGGCTTCAAAACTGCAATTCTGAACTGTTCGGAATATGTTAAAAATTGACCTTGTGTAGAGAAAAAAAATCACCGATGGAGATATATTGGAGAAAACTTTTTCCACCTTTCATGCCTTGAATATATTCCTGCAGCAACAATATTGTGATTGTGGTTTCAAAAAGTACTAAAAACACATATCTTGCTTACTTGTGGCTGAATAAAACAATGAACTACTGATAAAAATAATGGGTTACTTCCAATTGGTTTTATACCATTGTCTAAAGTAATTGATACTGTATTACCAGAAGCAAATGCAATATCATGACAAGGACGTAAACGTGGATGTGAACATGCACATGAAATAAATCATAGACGAAATAATCAACAAAGCTATCAGTAACAAGAAAACAATTTCAAAAGGCACAAAGCAATTGAAAGTAGCATATCAAAAAAGAAGCACGAAAAAAATTGCTTTTAAATTGGAATGAAAGAGAATTGGATATGTACCTATCGTACAGCAAAACATCTTGTAGATGTGTACCGAATATCAATCAAGGAAAATGAAAAGGTGGAGAAAATTTTTGCTGATTATAATGGTCCAATTGATATGACTCATTTTGATATCTTTGATTTTTTTACTAATTCAAATTGGAATATTGACCATTTGATTGGGGGTAATGTGATGGAAAATATAAATTAATTTACTTTTTAGTATTTTCTTTTCGTTTTAGAAATTCAATTTGAAATATGTTATCACTTTTCGTAAAAAAATAATTTTATTATATATCGTTAATTTCATAATATTTAAATATGTTTACTCTTTTAAATTTAAATTCAAGTTTTTAAAATATATTTGTTTTGTTTATATTCATGATGGATTGTCAAAATACCTGCTTGATTGATAGTGTAGCTACATATACTATTTATTAAGACAAAACATATTTATCACATCAAGTTCTGGAATTTCAATAATATAAAATTTATCCACAACAATCCATCAAAACCATGGGACTATTGGTCTTCTGAATTCAGAAAACTTATCTACAACAATCCATCCAAACCTCAGCTTCTCTCATCCTTCCAGGAGCAGATCTAGGAAGTTTTCCTAGTGCGGGTGATGTTAGCAAAGGTATAAAAAATAATAACATTATAGCACAAACATTATACTAAAAATGAAATACCTTGCAATTGTTTTTTACGAGTTTTCATA